TGATGTGAACAGGCCTGGCCTACCTTGAAATTCACATCTGCCCTGTGACACAAGGGCACTCTTAGTGGTGACATGTCGAGATTATATGCTGTATTACACGGGTTCAAGTCTCGTTGGCAGTACCGATGGGACTTAGGCGAGGTCGAAACTACAGTCCGACTTGGATGAGAACACCTTTTTGGAAGCAAGGCTATTTCAAATTCAATGGAAACATGAGGCCTACTCACCTCATTTTGGTGAAAATTCAACTACCAGTACCTCGCCACCTTAAACGAAGTGGGGTTAATACATCTAATATATGATTTTAAAAGACTTTGGATCATTTAATATAAAGTGAATCAATATACTGAATTTCAAAGAATATATTGAAACGATTATTTGTAAAATAAAGACAATTTATCTCGAACATGTAAAGCCAATTTGCGATCAATTAACAACGAATGGCAAAAAGAAAGCTGACAACCTGCGAAGAATGCTTTAATGGATAGACCCAATGGCACATCCTGTAGACCCAATTCCTGTCAGATGCATTACAGTTTCCATCGACATCGGAGTGAATCGTTATCACAACCTAAATCTAAAAAGTACTGTTTGGAACGTACCCATCTGCCTACTGTACACCTCCAGCCGACAATGCAGCCATCGAGCCATGAATGAGGGCCAATAATCGCGTTGGATAAAATAGCTGAATTTCGAATGCGAACTCCGGCTTGGATGATAACACCATCAGATATCGTAACATTCGGTCCAATCCTGCAGCCATCGCCAATTTGTGCAGTTGGATGCTATAATATGAAAATATATTAAATCAAAGCAGATAGCCAAGTGACTTGCAAAATACACCGGAATACGGTTGATACAATAAGTCATAAAAACTTATAAGATAATCTTAGATTCATCAATATTAAAATGAGCCCACTTGCATTTGTTTAAGAAGTAAAAGTAGGTTTTAGGACTCTTCTGAGATATTTACATATTTAATATCATGTAATATGCAGTA